CATTGCTGTCCCTGGCAGGACAGTTTGTTCATCAGGTGGCATGTGTGGAGGAAAGCAGTGGAGTGCCAGAGGGACTGTCTCTCCCATTTACAGAGAAGAGAAGTGGCTCTGGTGGGATCTGACATGGACAACACACCTGCAGAGAGACACTGACGGCACCAGCTGATTCCCCAAAGATGGTGATGTTATCTGGGTCACCTCCAAAGGCTCTGATATTCCTCTTCACCCAGGCAATAGCCATGTGCTGGTCCTTCAGCCCGTAGTTCCCTGAGCAACAGAGAGCAGCCACCCTTGAGCAAGGGCACAGCAAAGCTGACAAGCTGGGGACCCATGACGGGGTCCCCTGACGAGGGGGCAGCCTCAGTACCTGGCATGTTCTCATCTCCAGTGCTCAGGAAGCCCAGGGGCCCCACGCGGTAGTTGATGGTCACCACGATCACGTTGCCCCGCACGGCGATCTCCTCGCCATCATAGAGGTAGTTTTTGAGGAAGTTGGCTCCCTGGCTCCCCCCCAGAAGGAAGGCTCCACCGTAGATCCACACCATCACTGGCAGCTTGGTAGAGACTGGAGGATGAGGAAGAAAGCAGCATGAGCCACAACACAGCTGGAAGGTGCTGGTGTCCATCCCCATCCCCTCCCGCTGAGCGTGGCTCCACCTGGGCATGAACAAACATTGTGCTTGGCAACAGCCTCTGGCCAAGGAAGTCCACGGTCTGTAGAAGAGGCTGAAAGTCCCAACAGGCTGTAGCTGGGGGACTTTGGCTGACACGACTCCCACCTCTCTCTCTGAAAATCAGTGCTCCTGCAGTTGCCCACTATAGGAGCATAGTTGCTGAGAGATGCTCCAGAGCCATTTGTCCAGAAAAGGCAACTGCAAATCTCCTCCCCAGGTCTCTGCCCAAGCACATACCCTGTCTCCTCCCCTGAGGGACCCAGATGTTCAGATAGAGACAGTCCTCGCTCCCACGGACATCAGTTTGTGTGAGGGTTGTCTGCATGCAGCGTTTTTTGAAAGTTTTTGTCTGCAACGTTCCTAAGAGGAGAGAGGGAAGACAGCAGATCCTAGTTAGAGACATCAACTCTGTGCTTTGGTTGCAAGTTGTCTGTCCATCCATCCTCTCCTCCACGAGTCCAATGCAGAGGTAGCAGAGGCTCTTCAGCCACTGTGACCAGCCCGAGGGAGTGACAGAGTGGGGCCCTTTCCTCTGTGAACTAGCTCTGGGCAGCCGAGGCATGGAGGGGAGGTGCAGGTGCCATGCTTCAGATTTGCTCCTTCATAGGGCTACTTGAGTTGCTTGGAAACATTTCAGTTCATACCACCCATGAGACCAGGAGCTTTCTCTTGGTGCTGCTTAGTAGATGGAAGTAGGTAACAACATCTTTGGCTAGTCAGTATCAGACTAAAAAGAGGGAAGGAAAAATAAAACCCCAAGCCAAATGCATTCAAAAGCTGGATCTTACCATCCCAGCCAGGATGAGGTTGGGGATCTTCCAGAGGCTTTGGAGGGGCAGCAAAGGGGATCCCTCTGAAGATGTCGACGGAGCCCTCGAAGAGTCCCAGTTTTTTATTCTCGCCTTCCACAAAACCTCCCTCAGTGAGCACCACACCCAGCTGCACAGGGTACCATGGAGAAAAGAAAACCCATTGCAGTCCTCCATGCCTCTGGCTTCCCGTGTTGCCAGCACCAACACCTTGCCCCGCTGGGTGCCCCAAATGGACCCACTCCCATCTCCCCTTCCCCATACGTCCCTTTGGACCCCGGAGGGAAGCCCACAGGTAGCTGCTGCTGGAGGTGTGCCCGTGCAGATGTCCTGCAGGCTGCCCTTTGGAGCAGGCAGGCAGCAGCAATTCCCCTGCCCTCCCACAGATAAACAGCAGAAGGAGAGGACCTACAGCCTTAAGATGCAAACCAGGCCAGACCTGGCACAGAACTGTGCAGGAACTTTTGGGAACATGCTGTTGAGAGCCTTTGCAGTGTTTGCATGCCAGAACACCCGCCTTGGCTGCCGCGCTCTGCAGGCTCTTTCGTGGGCTCAAGACCAGACGAGGCAGGATTTTGCCCATTCAGGCAGGAACAGAGCAAAGCCTTGCAAAGCCATAAGAGAGTGCTTTTGTACTTACGGTTGCAGCCCGTGCTACCCCGAGGTAGGAGCACAAGGCAAAGCACAGGACCTCCCAGCGAGCCATGGTGCTTGCACACCCGAGGAGACCGGCCCCAGGCGGAGGCTTACATATATATAGGTAGGAGTGGGGCAGTGTGTCAATGCCACAACCCCCCCCAGGCTCTAAGGTAAACCAGGAGAGCCTCCACACGTTTGTCCTTCAGTAGCCTGAGGCCAAACCATGGCTGAGATAGACTGGCATCGCTGTGTGAGAACCCTGCAGGTGTTCCTTCTGTGGGCTGGAGGCCAAGCCTAAGGAAATATCTCACTCTAACAAAACTTCAGAGAATGTTAAAAAAAGCTGAAGCCTTGAGAAGCCTCACACAAGTGCAGGAGGCTGAAATAGTTTTAAACCCTGCATTAGAGCAGCCCCTGACAAGCAACCTTGCACTCCTAACATGTGTCATGTCATTAGGGATGTAACCTAGAGATGAATAAAGAAAAACAATGAGGAACCAAGGGGAAACACCTGGCAGAATATCCCTGGCTCAGAAACAGAAATGCTGGACCAGTGGGTGAAAGGCCAGCTGGTATTTGGGGTATGGTGACTCTAGCAAGGTGGGGAGAGGAAAAGTGTCAGATCAACAAAACCCTTTAACGTGGAAAGAGGGAGATGTGATCAGATGACCTCAGAAAGTCCTTTCCCTCAACTTGCTTTCTGCAAAATCAGAGCAGGGGGACTCTATATTCTGAGGTCTGAGATGTCGTGTCCTGCACAAGATGTAGAGAAGCAGGAGCACCCAGCTGATGGTCCCTTGCTCTGTCTCCCAGCAGCTTCAGGCAGATGGACAGACTCATTGTGTAATGGGCCAAACAGAGCAACAGAAGTTTCAGCTTCTCTGGGTGGACACTGATGTTGGCCTTTACTGTATTCTGACACCAGACAAGATGGACTTCGAAGAGCTAAAATAATACAGAAACAACCAGGGAAGACAGTGGCCTCAGTGGCATCTACTGAGACTTGTTAAATCATTTAGATTTTGGGCTTGCCCATCAGTAACCTCAGAAAAAAAAAGACCATGTCCATCCAGCAGCCAGTCTGCTCTGGAGCCTACTCTGGCCTGGGGAGTTCTGCAGAAGGCACATTGCAAGATCCCTTTTCAGAACACAGGCAACCCCAATGCAGGAAATCTTCCAGCCCTCAGTGGCATTTCAGCTACATGCCACTCACACACTTTCCTTACATGACAAGAAGAGCTGCAGCTGTTCAGGACCCCGAATATTCCTGTATTCCTGGCAGAATGAGCCAGTAAAGTCCTTCTGATTTGACAGATCAGAGAACAGAAAAAGCAAATGTGTGTTTTTCTAGGGGCACTAAGACAGCTGATATCAAACTGGAGTAGAACCCAAAGGCCTGGATTCAGGTTCCTGGCCTAATTACACAGGCCCATATCTCATTTGTTAACAAGGTTAAGTGGGAAATGCAATCACAAAGCCTTCAGAGAAGCCAGCAGTAGTTACCACCACAGAAATTTCCAATGACGTCTGTGTGCCACAGTACAGCACTCGGCCCAGCTCCAGAATCAGGACCTTTCTCAGCTCTTCCTACACTTTTTTATCCACAGGATTGGTGCACACTTTCTTCCAGGTTTAGCTGGGATTTTTTCATCACCAAAGTTCACAAAGATAGCATTGTGTGGGCCCAGCTGAGGCCAACCAGGTTCTCACCTGGGGATTGTTGTAGCCCTCCCTAAGAGAAAGGGAAAGGATGGGGCTTGTTTTCTGCCTGTGGCACACACAGACTTGGGACCTTCATGGGAACATGCAGAAATGAAGTTTGTGCTCCAGACTTTGGAGGAGAAGGAGCTCAGCCATGTCAGTAAGGGGTTGGTTTAACTTTGCCCCACCTCCCTATGGAATTGGAATCACATACTTGTGCCATAGCAGACTCTTGTGACACCATTGAGGAAATACAATTTAAATTTAAAAAAAACCCCTTGCAAATCTCCATGCAGTTGCCTGATGAGAGAGGGCCCCTGCACTATCTGACACAAGACCCTCAGGCAGTTGGCTACTGATCTATGGAAATGCATTTGCAGCACAAAAGGCTTCACCCTCTGCATCTGCTCTGCTGTAGCTGCTGCAGCTCAGCAGGGCACAGGGACATGGCAAGATGGAAATGCAGGTAAGATAAGCTGAGTTTATTTTTTTTTTAAAGTGCTGATGAAGGACTAGAGTGAGAAAAATGAAAGATGTTTCACGTGGGAGACCTGACAGATTGTTCTTCTGGAAAAACCAATCTGGGGCCAGGAGGGAACAGGTCTGGTGAGCACGGTCAGAGGAACATCTGGCATCGAGTCCTGCCTGCTCTGCCCGCAGCCCCAGCCCACTGGCAGCAGACAAAAAGCCAGGCTCAGGGCATCCCACGCTGCCTGGAGCCTGCTGGGGGAGGCAGGTATCTTCACCAGGTTGGTCCCTTCTCCTGCTAAGCCCTCAAGTGGACTTTGCTGCTGCCAGGCAGTTTCTCAAGCGTGCCTGCCTCTGTTGTGCCAAATCAAGGGGGAAAAAGCAGAAGAGGGCAGCAGCTTGAAGAGGGGAAGGTCTCCATCCCACCTCCACCCCTGAACTCCCCCTTCCCGTGCTCTGGGGCAGCACCAGCGCAGCTGAGCTCGGAGTCCTCGCCCCGGTGCCACGTCCACGTGTGTGTCTCTGAGTGCCGGTGTTTCGGTCACCGCTGTCCCCTCTGCTCCGCCCAGCAGGGTGGGCAAGGGGGGCGAGAGCTCCGGGCCGGGGCAGGAGCAGAAGCCCGAGGGTGCTAAGCCTGGCCCAGGAGTGGCGATTACAAAGCAAGGCTGGGGATGGTCTGTTTGCTGGTGTCCGCCTGCAGGGTGCAGTGCTACTGCGTCTGCACCTCCAGCCCTCCTCCCCTGGCTCCGAGCTCCCCTGGCTCTGCTTCCGACAGAAGGAACCCCCAAACCTGTGCGAGCAGCTGGAAGCACTGCACAGGGAAACGCTTTCAAAGGAGACAGCCCTGGTGTGGTTCACACCTGCCTTACCCAGCATCAGCTCTCGGGCGGGGGGGGTTGAGAGGGGGTTCTCTGGCTTCAACTGTGGTTGCTCCCGTCATGTTTCCTAGGGAGGAGCAGCAGGCAGTGTTAATATGTCCCCCAAAACCCCCAGAGCCCTTGCAGAGAGGGTGAGGAGGTTTTGGGAGCTGAAGGTTGTTGGTGGGACGAATGCATAAATATTTACAGAGAACCTACAAACCCACAGCAAGGTGAGGTAGTGCTGCTTAGTTCTGTTTTAGCATCAAAACATCAGTTGCTGTGCTGGTTAGCGAGGTAAGTTGGCAAGTGTGTAAAAACAATCTGAGATCCAAGTCAGCTCCAGTTTATGTGTACACAGAGTTCCCAACCTCCTCTTCCTCTTGTGCTGATTTGCTGTGTTGCATTTAATCTCATGGGAGGCTGTCTTTGGACACACCAGGCTGAGAGATTCCACAAATGTGACACAAACTCTCCATAAACTGCAAACACTCTTATTTTCCTTAGGATTTCATGGCATTCTTGGAAGTCTGGCCTCTGACTGGAGCCTCAGGGCTGAATGCCATTAGGGGGAACACTACATCTCCTAGCTAAGGTCTGGCTGAAGTTTCTTCTTTCCTTTTTATTCTACAGACTGTGTACCATGAGCTGTTAAGCTGATACTGTGTTCCACCTCAGAGCAGGTACAGCAGGAAACAAACTGTTTATGGGAAAGGGCAATAGTATCTGAGTATGATACAGTGGCCAAAAATGGCAGAAACTAAAATATTGTAACTTCCCTCAGCCATGCCTGAGATTCCAAGGGTCTCACAGACCTTTTATTTTTCAGGAACAGTGCTGTTCAAAGTGCCTGATAAGGGGCTTCCAAACTATTGAAAATCTTGGTTATGAAGAGTAGAAATTCCTTCTGAAAATAGTTTTCTTTAGTGGAACTTTGTTCTGGTGAAAACCAGAATGGATAGTTCAGCATTCAGTCCTACCAGTAAAAATCCATATCAGCTCTGTGCAATGCCCAGAGAGCAGAATATGCTTAATTTCCTTCCACACCATTCTCCTTTATTGTTAGCAATATTTCACAGTGTTAAGAATCCATATTAGAACCTAATTTTTCACTTTACTATTACACCATTCAAAAAAAATAGGCAAAAAGCCTATGCCAGGCCTTCTGGTCCTTGGCTCGTGTGATTTCACCAGCTTTTATCTACCTCCCTTGAGCTGCAGCTTTTTCCCGCTCATCTTCGTAATCTGACATTGTGATTTGTGCACTTGCATGCTTGTTTTTCTCCATGAAGATTTGCTGAATCATTGGGGAGGAGGCAAGAGCTCTAGAGGCAGCTGGTGACCAGTGATAAAAGTATGGGCACATCCAGTCTTCAGGGTTTGCAGATGACAACCCCTAAGTTGAAGGCCTGAGTCACATTCCCTTCTGAGCTAAGATTGCTGGGGACTTTGGGATTGAGGAAGTGGGGCTGAGGGGGTGCTGTCCCCAAAATATAAGTTATTAATCCTGTCAACCACAAGTTTCTGTTGTATCTGCTGCTAAATTTATAATGATGCTGTGAGAGAATTCACAGGCTAGGGGCTAAACCCTGTTGACTGCTTTATGTTGTGCCCACTCCAGTGGGAACACATAGTTAAGAAAACAGGATTTGGGGTTAAAATAAGTCATGGTATGCAGTAGCTGCTTCCAGACCTACAGCAGCAAGGTGTAGTGTGAGCAGAGATGAGCCAGGGCCCCAAAACTGTCATGAGCTTGTTTATTTGAAGATAATGTTCCAAATTCCCTTGCTACAACTTGTGCAGCTGTTCATCAGAACAGGTTTGAATTTTGCCCACTGCCTAATGTTTGACATAAGAGTTGTGAGCTAAAATACCTTGGTTCACATTTTAGGTCTTTCAGTTGCTCTCTGTATGATCTTGAGTTACTTTTTCTCTCCCTGGCTTTTGGTTTCCTTGCAGTAAAAGAGGGATAAGTCATTTCCATCTTTGTGGGGCATTTTGAAATCTTTAAGCAGTATGTGCTATTCAAATGCAAAGTATCATTA